GCTCTGGCAGCGCCCTCCACCCACCCACCGCTGCCCTTCTGCCGCCCGTGCCCAGGCAGGGCCCCGTGCAGCTCTCCCAGGCACCGAGCACCCGCCTTGGTGCACGGAGGAAGAACATCTCCACTCACTCCCTGCACGTTTGTATAGGTGCTCCCAGCAAACCTGTCACTATAAATGTTTCTACGAAATCGCTGTCGTCATTCACTCACTTCATTCAGTAACATCTGAAACACTTCCAGAATCCCAGCCCCTCAGCCACTGGATTTAGCAGCTCTCCCAGGCACCGAGCACCCGCCTTGGTGCACGGAGGAAGAACATCTCCACTCACTCCCTGCACGTTTGTATAGGTGCTCCCAGCAAACCTGTCACTATAAATGTTTCTACGAAATCGCTGTCGTCATTCACTCACTTCATTCAGTAACATCTGAAACACTTCCAGAATCCCAGCCCCTCAGCCACTGGATTTAGAGGTGTGGGATCTGCTGGGAACACGATCAACACCTCTAAACTTCTCACGCTGAAGATCTCTCATTAAACTGATGCAACGACTTCTACTGACAGGAAGAACTACTCCAGCCACTTATTGTAGCACTTCTTCTGAGAATTAGTCTTAAAAAAATAGGAAGAAAGGGAACGAAGCGAGTGCCTTGGGTCAGCTACTTTTCTAATTACAGTTTTCTGCTAAAATATTCTGTTCCTGCATTAACATACTGCATTTTCATACACAGCTAAGGCCACAACATCTTCAAGCAACAGATGCTAATGAATACAAAGGGATGCAGTCTATTACCCCACGGGTTCTAGAAGAGCCTTTTCCTTCTTATTTCTTTATGTTTACAGGACCAATATTTATATTGAAGATTGATGATTAATAAGATTATTTTTCTCATGTAGGAAGATGTATTAATGGCCTTTGAACGTGCAGTGATTCATTCCTTGATGGAGAGCTGTTCCTCAGGGCCAGACCTGGGAAACTCCTCAGAGCAGCAGCTACAGGTCTGCCATTCCGTCTTTGCTAGAGAGATGGGAATTGTTATGTGACTATTTTTCTGCAGAAAAATAAAAGCCATCTATTGTTAGTTCCAAGATACCTGTGATGTAAATATTTTTACATCAATATTTACCTATTGATGTAAATAAGCCATGGAATTAATCAGCTATTTTTGGGGTATTAAGGTGGGGAAAAAACCAAATTGGCCTCATGGAGAGTCAACAAAAGTTGCCTTTTAATTTTCAGCCTTAACTTCTCAGGGATTTGGAGGGAATTACATTATCCTCCGCATCCTCTTTACCTGCTCGTGTTTCTGACGGTTACTCCTGGTTTCGTACTTGGTGGTACACAAGGAACATCAGAATCGTACAACGGCAGCTCCTCACCTCTGAGCAGGACTTCCCTGTATCTTTTAATCAACTGAATAGAATTCAAGCCTAACCCATGGGCTAATTGCCTAAAATTAACAAGATTTGAGTATTATTGACATTGATAGGATTATTTTAAGTAACACAACAGTCTCCCCTATCTACTCTATAACACACACAAACTCTGCAAAGCCGCAGTTGCTAACTGAGCTTATTACTGCTGCGTCAGCCATTCCCCCTTGGTCTCTACAGAACAGGAACATACGCAGCCCGTCAAAGTGAGAGCTGCTAATTTAGATTTAATGAAACAGTTTTCATTCATAATTATCAAGCAGTAAGTGACTTTAGTGTTGCAGAAGCTCAGAATGCGTCTCTGTGTGCCCGGATGCCGCCTTCTCAGCCTGGCAGCCCGGCAGCAGCCTTCGCGCTGCCACAGGCACGCTGCTGGACCAGGCACCTCCAGACCCCGGCGCCAGGGCTTAGCCAGGCCACGTGCCGCCAGGTCCAAGGGACCACCCCGGGGAGCAGAGCAGCGTGGTCTTCAAGAAGTGTCCTCCCTCCACTGGCCTCCACTCGCATCAGAGCCCGGAGATTTAAACGCACTTTAGCTCGCCACTGGTTTTCTGCTGAGCTTAGTTCAACTGAGCCTACAGGCTTCGGTTCCTAATTTTAGTTTAGCAATCTTTAAGTCCCTACTTTAGTCTAATTTCAACACGTTGCTCTTCTAGGACACGACATCCAACTGAGAACACTTCTGTGCTGTGTTGTCTCCAGTGGCTGAATTCCTGCTCCGTTCTACCTTTCACTGGAGACTACCACCAGCAACCAGCACAGCCACCTGGCAGACCAAGAGCTGCCAATATTTCAGGTGAATAAACAGCAAACCCGCTCTCCTGTGCTGCCTGCCAAAAACATCCACACTGCGAAT